TTTTTGTGGACTATAGAGCTAATGTGAGAAACAGCAAACAACAACATTAGTACACGTGTCGGGCGGGTGTTTTGTTCCATGGCACGCGCATCGGTGTGTTCAGTTTTTGTCTTTTTTTTTTTCGGTTTTGGGGACGACAGATAAAATGACCCGGAAAAATCAACACGAACGCGGCGTCTGAGGATGAAGATGAAATACTCCCCCGCCGGATGTGAGGATGCTCTCGTCCCATTCTTACCGCACTCACTTCACGTCAACTTGAACGAAGGACACCCACCCGTGTGGTAGTGAAGCTGCAAAAATATACCGTACTCTGGTGATGATACTGCACCAACTTTACGCGGTCGTGCAAAGCATGATTTAGAAACTGCAGGAAATCGTGAGGTAGTATGATCTTTTTGGCGATCGACAGCTCCCAAGGGTACATGACCCTGTGTCGTTCGGTGTGCGGTCATCAGTGCATCCAAACGCATAGAGGGGAACGAAGGGGCGCGGCGGTACGCGCTCACCTTCAAAAACCTTATCCTACTGCTGACTGCACGACCAACAAGGCAAGAAAAACTGCCGCACGTATGAATCTACAGCAGGAAAACGAAATAAACTGGTGGCAGCGTGACCATCGATTGGCAAAAGTGCACGTTTCTGTTCGCAAAATCAACGTAGAAAACGGACACAAGTAGGACGGTGATTCCACCAGCACCGCATTCAGTTTACGGCAATGTCGTGCTGAACAAAAAAAAACAGCAACACCTCACGCCACGCAGACACAGAAGACCTTTGTTCCTTTCAATGATTCTGAAAAAAATTTCATAGAACACCCAAGAAGAGTAGCATCCCCATCCCTCAACGACGCGGGGCGATTTCTGCCATCTCTCTTGCAACTACATAGAAAAAAACGACCATGCGGAGCGCTTCCCTACGTACGCAACACACTCACCCGAAGCCTATTACAATACACATCTTTCACATTAAAACGCAGCAACGCCAGCCAGGGCTTTCACCTCCCAGCTAAAAACCGAACACGGGCAAACGACGTTCTCAACGCAGACGAACTGCCACGTGTGCATCTTTCGATTGGGAGCGCGACCATATGTATGTAGCCAGGAACATCGAAAAGAACCCGACGAACGGCTTGCCGCACAGACAGATATGGTGCAGATTATGCACGTGTTTTAGCCATCGCCCTCGGTCAACACCAAACAGCTCACGCACGTGTTATCAGCTGCCCGCCGCCCCCAAGACTAGACAAGCCCGACCCACCTGTACTATCATACTTGATTTGTTCATTTTGTATTTCAACGCGGATCGAGCGATAGCCGCTTCCACAGCGGAAACCCCCTCTTCCTCAATCGAAGCACCCTGGGACCATATTTGCGCGCCACAAACAACAAGCGAAACATGACCGCCTCAGCACTGCAGTACACACGGACGAACAAGAAAAACAACACACAACCAACACCCCTTTCCTCACCAATCCCCACGGACCGTGCTCAACATTCCAACGGCTCGTGATCCCCTCGCCCTTCCCCAACCGAGCCCCCCCCCCCCCCCCCCCCCCCCCCCCCCCCCCCCCCCCCCCCCCCCCCCCCCCCCCCCCCCCCCCCCCCCCCCCC